TAAGTGATATATGGGATCATACTGTCATAAGGTTTTTAGGACAAATTCCAATTAAGGCTTTATTATTCTCAGACCATGTGGCTATATAATTAGATAATTAGATAATGATACTAATAACTAACATTTATGGAGTAACTTATATTTTTCTAAGCACTTGCACATCCATTATCTCATTAGGTGCTCAAATGTGCAGAGATTAAATTTGTAGAGACAGAAAGCTGCAGTGTGGTAGGGAACAGGCACTCTGAAGCCAGACTGCCTTGCGAGCACCAAACCCCACCACCAGCTCTGCAGTCTCAGTGATTGGGACCTCCAGGTCTGTCACCACAACTAGGGATGCGGGTACCTTCCTCTCTGGAGTCTTGTTAACATTCAATAGGTTAATAGACATCAAGTTCCCAGGGCAGTCCCTAGAACTTTGGAAGTGCTCAGTGGAGAGTAGCTGGTATTACTATCATCATCATCATCATCATCATCATCATCATCTGTGCTTTCACCAATGGAAGGTGGACTAGAGCCCAGGACTGCTGAATTCTAAATAATGCCTTGGGAATGCCATACTGAAGGCCTCTAGCATTTTCTGTATTATTGCAAAGAATGTAGTCTAGTTAAGGTTTCCTGTATTCTAGGACTGGTGTTCAGCTAAAGAGGAAATAATTAGTAATTCTAGATGAAGACTCAACAACATGAGTACACATGATTATGAATACCATAAAATATCTAGTTCCTTTCAGAAGAAATTGTCTTTCTCAGTTTGGCTTATTTCACTTAGCATAATATTTTCTAGGTCCATCCAGGTTGTCCCAAAGGGTAAGAGATCCCTCTTTTTTACAGCTGCATGGAACAGACTGACATAGTTTAATGTGGGGGTTATGGGGGAACAAGAAGAGCTAAACCAAAGAACTTACATACATATATACATAGGCCATAGAAATGGGCAATAAAGTAGTGAATAGCTAGGGGGTGGGTAAGGACTGGGAAGAGGGGGAGCAAGAAGGGGCAAAACTGGAGATATCTGTAATACTATCAACAATAAAAATACATTAAAAAAGGGAGAAGAAATTGTCTGTACATGGTAGTGTATGTATTATTACAACCTGCACGTGAGTCTCAACTTCTACACAAAAAATTAACATGGTGATCTTTTCATGTGCTGAAATTAGTCTCCTCCCACTAATGATGGACCCCAAGTTTCTCCTAGACAGCACCCAGATTCTGGAAGGAGAGGTCCCTCGGGGAAGTTCCACAGTCTGAGGGGTGAAGATTTCTCTTGCAAACAAACCGACTTCTATGCAGGGATGGATTTTCAACCTTAAATGCTTATGTGTGTGTATGTGACCTAAATAGCGCTTTGATGTTTAATGATAACAACTTCTGGACTTGAAGATAGAAGATGAGGATCCAAGTCTCATCTTCATTTTACCAAGTGTGGGACGCTGGCTGACTTCTCCACAATTCTAACAATAAGGGAAAAGATACAAAGGAAGTTTTTTTCACAGATTATGTGGTCTGTAGTCACTTCATATATTTGAAAGCATGATGAGACATTAGCATGTCACTCCAGTTTTGCCCAAGGTGTTTTTGTAGGATCATTGGCAGGTTCCATGGCCCTCACCTCTATAGCACCCTTAGAATTTCTCCCCTCTGTCCAGCTGGGACTAGTGTGTCTCAATCAGATCAAGGACACATGCTGTCTGGAGTTTTATCAGTTTATTAAAAAATGGCTTCACTTTCTCTTCCTGGCCACTGGGCTGAGTTATTTTGAGTAGATACTTGAGTTCAGCTTTGTCCAATGATGTGTAAAGTTCACAATGGTCAAAGACATCACTGTGACCAGGTCAGTGTCCTGGAAGAATACATACCCGAGTGTGCCTTCTGCTTTCTGTGACTTCAGAGGACATTGTGACCCACTGTTCCTCATAGTTGAAGTTTCTTCTGTTGCAGTTAACTGCAGTGATCGCAAGATTCCATTTCCCTGGGTGGAGTTTGAAGTCTAGGTCTCTTTCTCTCCTCCCAATTATGTGTTCTTACATTGCCCATCACCTTGCAGATGCATTGTGTCCTCAAGATTGCAGCCTAATTTTACCACTAGCCCAAGCAAGACTTGATGGAAACCCTTATGTTTTAGAGGGGGAAAAATCATGGTTTAGAGCTAAAAGCAATAATGCTTTTTAAATCTATGGAAAATTGGTATTTTCTACCTCGATGCACAGTAATATTGGTAAAGCTAATCAAGTGTTAGTTATATGTAAATTTTACTTGTATAATAAAGTAATTAAGACTTTTTCTATCATATTAGCTTTTTCCAAATTCTCATGTAGCTGTTCTTTCTAAATTGGAATGAGTAATGCTGTTGATTTGAAACCTAGTGAGCTATGGAAAAATCGCTCTATAATTTTTGCCTGTTGTCTGACTGTTTCGTCCTTGACAGGTGATGTGTCACTGTTGATATATTGCTCATTACTTCAATTACCTTTGTCAGAGTACATTGAGGTTTTATGCTGTAGATGTGTGAGCAAAGTAATGAGAGAGAGAATTTTGGTTTGTTTTCATTGAGTATCGATAAAATACATGGCTGATGGTATAAAAGATGAACAAATCTGATTATTTCATGATGTATATTTCAGGAGCACATAAATCATATTTTTAACTGAAATACCTTTTGAAAGATGTTTTCAGTTGTCACCTTAAGATCCTACAAGGAAAACATTTGTAGATTTCTGGAGATAATTTTATGAATCTATTCAGAATCTATAAATCGTTTCACTTGCTAACTATATCTGTAATAAAGTTCATCAGTGTAAAGTCACATGGTCTGTTTTAACCAGGACATGCAACTCTTCTGCTTTATAGATTATGTTAAACTGTTTATATGAGGGTAAATATTTTACTTTATTCCATTTTATTGACATGTCCAAAAGTCTGTGCATTGTTGTATCAGTTTCAGTTTTCACTGCCCTGGAGTTGCTTTATCTTGGGGCAGATGTGCAGAAAAATAGCCCAAGAAAGTCTAGTGGGAAGATACCTGTTGTCAGTGACCACTAGCCTTAAAGGGCTTTGCCTCTTCCACCATAGTTCACTCTCTCCCATTAGGTTGTGGCTTTCAGGAAGGTAGGGACCAAGGAGAAAACCCTTGGCCAGAATTCGTCACCATCCTCCCAGTGCTTACTATACCTCCTCCCCTGGCAATCAGTCCCCATCCATCTCTGTCCCCATCAATGGTCCCCCTTTTCTTTCCCATCTGTGGTCTCCCTTCCCTTCCAGAAGCTCTCCCATGCCTCAGCCTGACTCCCTTGGGCCTTAAAGTCTACTTGTTGGCTCTGGCTCCCTTTCTGGCAGTTTCCACATCAACAGTGGGGACAATATGTTGCTGGCATCCAGAATGAAGCACTCAGAGTATGCACTCCCCATAGAGGAATCATATAGCTGGTGATTGGGCCTATAATACCATTAGTATGGATTAAACGATTTTTTTGCAGGCTATTGCAAACTTCGCCATCTGGTATATACTGTTTTCTTGGGACTCTATTTTCTAAATTAAAACAAAACGAATTACAATTGTACTTTTGTTATGCTCTTCATGATGAAATTGGGTTGGATGGAAATGTTTTTATCTTTTTCCTTGACTTTTTTTTCCCCAGGAACTGTACAGATTCCAAAGTCTTTACCATGTTATTTGATTGGCTTATTACTCATTATCCAACAATGAAAAAATATTTTTTTTCATTGTTTAGAATGTCCATTTGGGATATCAGAAGGGATGGGACTGTTTTAAATGGTAAAAATTACATGAACCAATGTATTTTAAAGAGCACACATTATTTCATAAAAATAAGGCTTATGCCACATCAAATATGCAGTCTTGGTTGAAATATAAAATTATGTTCTTTTAAAGAAAGAAATAAAGATCTTGAAATTTGCTCACACTTATTACAAAAGATTCTATTGTCTAAAACAGCCAGAGAGAGATATGTAAAGGATGAGATAGCGATTATGTCATAGTCTGTGTGTATGTAATTTCCTTTTATCCAAAAAGAAGTAACTTGCTCTGTGATTAACATAACATGAGAAAATTTGTGTTGCCAAATCCTCCTACTTCCAACTCACTCTACTTACTCCAATCCCTTCTCAAACATACACAATGGAAATTGACAAGTACGCTTCCACTCCTCTATACTTCTCTTTTTTTTTAATTCCCAAAGTAAATACGAAATTTGATTAAAGAAATGTTGCTTAAAAAGAAAATGAGCAAACTATTGCAAGGATACTATCTATCTGAAATGCAAGAAAATAAAAGACAGTTCTTTTGCAAAGTATAATTAAAGGATGGAGCCAGGAACTTTTTCCCACTGCTCCATCACTTGCACTGTCAGCCATGTTACCATCACCATTTGTAGCACTGTTTCCTGTCTTTGTTCTCCTGCTGTGCACAGATGTGATGGCAAAGATTACTAGCCATCAGAGATCCTCTGAGAAAGAGCGAATTCCACATTGTAGGAAGAGCTATTAATATTTTAAGCACTGTCAACCCTTCAGTGGTTGAGGTATTGCATCACTATTTATACGATAAAATTTGTTACTGATTGGAAGGTTTTGAGGGTTTTAGCAGCCTGATAATTAAATAGGAGATATGATTATAATAATGCAATTAATGTGCATTAATAGGTGGACTTTTAAATGTTTCTGATATTGTCTGATCCAAAAATAACTACTTGATTAACTAATTTGTCTCCTAAGAAATATGTCTATGTAGGTCAGGATGAGATCATTTGGGGGGGGGGGGGGGAATCTATTCATTTGAGAACTCTAAATCTCAAAAAAAAAAAAATCTCATTTAAGAGCTGGAGTCAAATTATATGGTCATTTTAGTTCTCAGAATTCAAAGCATAGATGGCTGGAATCATGTGTGTGATAATTCTAGGCTACTCTCAATAAATAATACATGTCATTTCTGCTTCACTGAGGCTGTCACTTACTGCTCTAAATGACTTTCAATGCAGGGCCCAGCCTGCTCTCCCAGAGTGCACTTCAGCTCAATTCCAAACCTGAAGGGTCCTTCCAGTTTCCAGCCAGCTACCATAGCAACCAGACCCTGGCCCTGGGTGAGACAGCCCCATCGCTCCCCGCCCGCAGCACACAAGCCCGAGGTGCTGGCCAGAGCTTCAGCCAGGTATGTATGAGAATGGGGCCCTCTGCTGTATTAGTCGGTGGGCTCCCAGGGGACAGTCCTGGAGCAGAGCTATGAGAAGGCCACTGGGACCCCTCCTGCCTTCCTGTGGCATGTTCCACAACTTCCTAAAGATGCCTTTAGTGCCGTGAGTGAAGGAAATGAATAATAAAATACCATCATGAAATAACACTGAGTTGTAAGCAGGTGTTCTTTAGGAATTTCTGCGAGGTGCTCATGCTATATTTACACTGTATATATTTATCTGTGTGGATATGTGAATGTGTGTCCTTACTATTTCTGTGTCTATCTGAGATATAAAGATCGCATGTGTTCTGCTTTTGTGTGTGCACCTGAAACAATTTTTATTCTCCTAAAAAAGCATGAAATTATTCTTTGGGTAACTCATGTAAAGAAACGTAATGCCAATGCATAATCAAGTACATAGAACTGTTTTGAAGATAATTGTGATAGTTCAGGAATAGTTACACTTTGTCAATTTTTTTAAATGTGCCCTTAGTTATTCCTTTAAGGTGGATATTTGTTCTTATAGTTTCAGTGCGCAGACTCATTAACTGCCATTCAAACCAGCTCCAGGTTAGTAGACATTAATAGTAGCTACTAATCTGATTTCCCCCCCCCCCCACACACACACAAAAAGTGTAAATGTTGTGCTAGATCCTGGATGGATGGGTGGCTGGATGGATGGATGGTTGGATGGATGGGTATATAGGTTGGTAGGTATTTTGTATTGATAACTTTAGAGTTCAAGATATATTCTATCAACCTAGAAGGTGTAATGTGTTTTGTTTTAAGCTATTTTGAACTTATTTTCAGCAGCATAAGGCCCCTTTAAATCCTTTGATCTTAGAATGAAGAACCCACAGCTCCAAAAGCAATCCCTTTAGCTGGCTAAGTTGATTTTATCCTTTCTGCATTTATTGAGTGGTACATATGCTATCTGACCCACCACTGGCTCCTATAACAGCCAAACCTCTCCTTGTCACCAGTTTATTGTCATTATTCCATCCATGTGTCTTTGCAACTAAACTGAAAGTTACTTGGGGGCAGGACCATTTTCATCTTAATCAGCAGCTTCTTGCCATCCACATGGCTCCCAAGTAATGTCTGCTGACAGAGAGGAGGCAAGGCAACTTAGAATGGCATAGTACAGTCACCATGAGATGCCTACATTAGGAGACATGGATGTAAAGGAAGCAAAACCTGAAAAGTCTCAGTGCATTTCTATTATTAACTTATTGCCCAGCAATATATTTTAAAACCAATTGTGTTTTTTAAGAAAAACACTTGTCTGTTGCTGTTTTGTAACTTTTACCTGGTAATGCTGAGCTATAGAATTTGTGGATAAAAGGGAGTGGAAAATAAAAGATTTACTGAGAAGATAGGCCTGTCCCTTTTTCTTTATCTGAGTAAACCCAAAGAGTAATTTCATGCTTTTTTGTGAGAATAAAAAATTGTATTTAATTTTTTTAAATAAACAAGTGAGATACAGCAATTTTTAACCCTGATATCCAGCCATACTTCTAAGTGGAAGAAGCCACATTCAGAAATAAGGCACATTTTCATTCTCAAATTAACCTATGACAACTATGGACTTAGCTTTTACCAGTTCCTAGACATGTACCTAGAAAAACCATAAAGTTCTACTTTGCTCATCAATATCTAATACCCCTATAATTTGAATTGAAAACATTGAGTCAACTTAAAAGAAATCTATATATTCCTTATGAAAATATGGAATGAGCATCATGAAAATGGAAATATCAATATAAAATGCAAAATAGCTTTCACTTACCCACCTCCCAGGTAAATGAATGATGCCAATATCTTTGCCTCCAACTTATCACCTTTGTTATACCCCAACTGTGAGCATCCTGTAAACCTGCTCACGCTTAGCTGTGCAGTAACTAGCTGCAAAATCAAAGCTTCTTTATAAAATTAACAGTTACCATTTATTGAGCACCCAGAAATAATCTGTTTTACACACATCCTCATAGTTAATCTCCCCAAAAGAGCTATATTACGATTTGCATTTTAGAGACTTGGAAACTCAAACTCATCACATTTAAACAAGCTGTAATGCCTCATTTTAAGGCAGAAACAGTGATAATGAGAACAGAAACTTGACTGAGTTGAAATATGATCATTCTAGAAGAAAGTGTTTCATGGGGGTCTTTTAAATTAATAAATGTATTTATTAAATTGATTGGGGTGACATTGGTCAGCATGAACGTATAGATTTTAGGTGTGGGTTTCTAATGTCACAAGATCTTTATATTGCAACAAGTGCCCACCACCCAAAGTCTAGGCTTTAATATCTACACTAATAAAAGAATAAGATGCAAATTGACTGTACCTTCATGATACCCACCAGCCAATCAGGAGTGAGTATGCAAGTTAACCCAACAAAGATGACTTTAACTTGCATAAACAGGTACCCAGCAGCCAGGACACTTGCCTTCTGCACCATCCCAGCCTCTCTGGGCCTCTGGGCATCATGGGAAGGCGGAAAGGCGACTCCAGCCAGAGCAAAGGTGGTGCCAGCAGCAAGGGAAAGGAAGGCCCATTCTTGCATGAATATTTGTGCACCAGTTTGAATAAAACTGGGTCACACAAATTGTCATAATATATATAATCACTTCAATCAAATGAATCTAGAGTTTGAACCTATTAAGAGGTGTATAAGATCCGAACAAGCAATGTGGTGATGTATCTGTTTTCATGTTGTGAGAGTCTATCTTCCACTAACTTCCATGGAGTAAAACGTTAGAAACTCTAATTGACAAGATTGGGCCTCACATTTAAAGTCTGCTTTAAAGTTTAATCAGAAAGTATACCTAAGTTGTAAAGATATCAGAGCTCAGGGTTATAATTTGGAGTCATCTATAAATGTGAATGTTCAAGGTGATAAGTTTGAGGCAAAGGTTATTGGCATTACTCACTGGCAGGTGGGTAGGACCTAATCTAAATACTAAAATCTAATTCACTTGATTCATAGAAGTGAAGCCGTTGGTGACTATCTGAGTCCTGTTTATTTCAGCTAAGTGATGGATGGCTATCAGTACCATGATTTACTAGTATTTTCAGCCTTAGTGTGCTGCAGTATGAGAGGTGTGTTTTACTGAATTATAGGACCTGTGACTTCAAAATTGTCAGAGAAATGCTTAATATGTAAGCATTTTTCACTCAGCAGTTAGCTTTATACCTTGGAAACAGAGAGGCCATATCCCATTCCAGTAAGATCTTCTTCATAGGATTGTCTTGGGAATCCCTTTATTCCAGTTATTTTGTAGAGTCCTGTGACTCATTCTTTTCAATATTCTGATGTGTGTTAAAGCTCATTTCTTTGAGTCTAGATTAATTTTTGGAATATCCTGTAGTCATAAAGTCCCAAAAAGGGCTAGTAAATGTCAAATTATGGCAGTAGATGTCAGACCAATTTAATAAGGTCAATAATCAACAGAAAAACATTTCATTGCTTGAAGAGGAGGTGTAATTCTAAAGCAAGTGATTTTTCAATCTCAGTGATTTTCTCTCATTCATAAATCACATTGAAATGTAATTTCAAAGCAAAGCAATATTGCAAATATTCAATGATGCTAATTTCAATTTTTAAAAATCTAGTTTATTCAACATAATCATCGCTTTGGTTATTAACACCAGGCTCTATGCCAAGCCCTGGCAATATGTGTGCAGCCCACATTGCCCCATTGTATCAGTTTGAATAAAACTGGGTCACAAAAATTGTCATAAAATATTTGTTCTCTTGCATTTCCCTAACTAAAATCCTTGAAAGTCATTCTCCTTAGGCTCTAGGATGAGTTTGTGGGGCCTGGCTGGAGGAGAGAGCATATAAGATTCTTCCCAAGGACCCCGAGCCCTTTCCCGGAAGTAATAGGAGTCCATGTATATCTATTCTTCTACGTGCCCTCAGCATTCTTCTCAGCCATCCCTCTCCAGCATTTAATAATCTGTTAGTTACCCCTCCATTCTTCCCTTCCTCCTCTAGGCCAACCTTGACCTTCGTGTGGCTGTTTTGAGGAGCCTTTGTCAAAATAGAGCTAGTTTTTCCACTACATTTATGTCTCTCTGGGTTATTCTTTAAAGCATCCGGAGTATTTATTGTCTGGTTACTGTATGCCATGAGCAAATATATTAGTTTGGGATGAAATAGTAAAAAAATGGGACCCTGTCCTCCAAGAACTATTCTAGAATCAGTGGTAGGGACTCAGAAAATCAGCACAGTAAATAAGTCAATTGCACAGTTTTTTATTTTTTTTATTTTTATTTTTAAATATATTTTATTGATTTTTGTTCAGAGAGGAAGGGAGAGAGATAGAGAGTTAGGAACATCAGTGAGAGAGAGTCATCCATCAACTGCCTCTTGCACACCCCCTACTGGGGATATGCCCACAACCAAGGTACATGCCCTTGACCGTAATCGAACCCGGGGCCCTTCAGTCCCCAAGCCGACGCTCTATTCATTGAGCCAAACTGGTCCTGGCTGCACAGTTTTTTAGATGACAGTGGTTCCTATAAGGAGGAAACAAATGCAGAATAGGATGAGTGGGACTCAAAGTGTAGGACGGGTGTGGCATAGGAGGCCTTGTGGAGAAGGTGACATGAAAGAGAAGAGGGAGGGAGCTGGGGGACAGCAAATGCATGGCTCCTGGATGGGGTGGCCTAGCTTGCTGACTGGACAGCAGGGAGGTCAAGGTTGTTACAATGGGTGCAAGAATGGTGAGGGGATGGGAGACCCAGTCAGTCATTGTGTGGAGCTTGTGTTTTACTCAGATTGAAATGAGGGGCAGATAGAGAATGTTAAGCAGAGGCACAACGTGGTTCAGCCTATATATTGAAATCTTCATTCTGTCCTATCACATGTAATAATACCCTACAGCAAGTGGCATGTAAGCCTGTTTCTTCCCATCAGATTGCCTTGCTGCAGGAGCAGAAACTTACAGAATTAATCTCCATATCCC